GTGGGCCTATCTCGGACGGGACGTCCGACACAAGAAAAATTTCACCCCATTTCTTTGACTCTAGCCGTTTAATTGCGATTTATTTTGGATATCGTACGTAGCAGTCCGACGAAGGTTGAGCACGCACTAGCCTGTGAAAATGTAACGCAATAGATTCTCTAAGAGTACCCAACTCGCCAGAAATGTTCAAGAAGGATCGAGTCGGGTAACGCACGGGAAAACCACATTGATCCGTGAATTCGAGTGGTGCGAAGGGATGAATAAACGTCAAGGTGGAGAGCGTGAGGTGGCACAAGGTAACTCTCGCAGAGTCCGTAGCTACTTGACGTTGAGGACCGTAAGCTGCGGGTCAAAAGTGCCCTCGTGAATTCACGTGAGGACTCCTCACTGAGGAGGCGCAGTTGGCACATGACAACTTGACAAGGAATCGCACGGCAGCTCCGCAACCTCTCATTATGACAAATCTTCTACCAAAGAAGGGGCGATCACTCAGTTGACCTAGGCCAGTACAAGAGTAGTTCATCCTTAAAGTCTAGCTTCGCTCACATCGGGTTCATGGCCATCCAGTCTAACGAGCCTCTAACGGGATGTTCTCTCATTGGATCGTTTTCGCCGGATTGCGCCTCTCTGCCTTCAGTCCGCTGTTCCTGACACCGTTTCAGTGGAGACTATTGAGGAGTCATATTGACCTTTAAAATAGCATTTGGAAATACTCTTGCCACAAGGGTCTAGTGATCGACTACGAGATTTCGGATCGTGTTCGCTTAACACGAAGTCATTAAATATTATTCTAATCGATCCTCCGAAATATTTCCTGGATCACGGCGTGATCCAAGAAGTGTGATCATCACGCGAGGGATAAATCACTGAACGATCGCTCAGCATTGCTAACTTCGAACGCGATGCTATGGCGGCTCGTCACAGATCTCGAGCCTCCATCAAAAGCACAGCGGAAGATCACAGTATAGTCAACAATCTTCTCGACCAACTGCGCTTGTTCTATAAGATTTATCATAAATCCATCAAAATGAGTGCCGGCCTTGAGGAAGTATGTCTGGAGACCGGCGAGCGATATAGGTTTGGGTCTCACGTGAGATACAACCCATGAGTTCTATCTCAGAAAAGTCCTGAAGTGTGTTGTGAGCAAACTAAGTACTTGTTTTTAGGGCGTGCGCGGTAGTGTTTGCTCTGTGTGATCGTAGACATTCAAGCTAAGTAAGCTAGAGCTTGTATGTGAAGAATAGATAAGGTTAAGAGTTTTTATTGGTTTGTGGTCCTTACTGGTTGGACCATCCTTACGTGAAGTACTATCGCTGCAACCCAAGGCTTGGTGGGTTGATTATTATCTATCCATTAGTATTAATTGGTATTATCGACTGGTTGTGTTAATCTAGTGGGATGAGTGTATCTTCTCGCGACATTGAGAACGCTGACATGGAAACCCAGAATGGCTCCTAACAATTGGTAGCAGCTCCTTGTAGGAGCCCTATGTTATTGGCTAATCTTGGGAGGACTCAACTTGAGGCTATTGTTACTGTACGGAATATTCCTAATCCGGGTGGATCTATTCGAGAAATGGCTGCTTATGTCTATGAGAATGATAAATGTGTATTAAACGCAGTAGAGAAGGGCCTTTTCTTGAACGTGTATCGCAAAGTATTTGGAACCCCGTATGTAGAAGAGCTTCAAGCTATGTCCACGGGATTGCAGGCTTCTTATGATGTCCTTAATGAGCCTCGAGAAGAAGATGATGACGCACCAAAGGAATCACCACCTTTGGATGGTGATTTGCCGGAGGATGCGGGTAGTACTGGTAAAGAGGGTGGTCTCTCCTCTAAGGGTCTGGTCTCATCGGGCTTTGATTATGATTTTGCTAACAAAGCTGTTGAGAGTATTACTGGTTCTGAGGAGAAAGGTGGCCAGTTCACTGACTTCTTGGCCTCTGAATTTCAGAGGATGCGGCAAGAAAACAGTGCTGCTCACTCGACTCTGATGAACGTGATTGATAAGTATAAGGAGTCTATCGATGTTGA